TCAATGCACATTTTAATTAGTATTTTAAATCAGAAGTGCAAATCTGCCAATAATATTAAGGAGTTTCTTTAATTCCATTGACTAGCTGTGCTTTCACAGAAAATTACTTCAAATTTTCCAAATTTGCTCACTGCTATAGACTTGCTGTCATATTAGGACAACAGCAAGGCAAGAAAAAATTATCATTAAAGAGTTTCCTATTAAAAAGAGAAACAGAAGCAGCCAGGTGGTTTTACTTCTGTAGTCTCAGGATCTCTGTTTTGGACTTAAACAGCCTTTATTTTGCTGTAGTGTAATATCATAATTATTCAAAAATGAACGTTGGCTTAATTTAAGGTGAAAATCTTCAGTGATACTGTAGAACACAGTAATTGCATTTCATGGTGACAGTAATGTCGCTGTTTTTAACTGCCTTTGAGATTGTGTTTGAAGGTCTCTTCTTTTGAGCAAAAAGCACTTCTTGCTAATACTTCTGTATGTTACCATCGTTCCATAATTTCTGTTCTCTACAAAATGGAGACCTCTGTATCCCGCTTCAAGGTAGCAGTCATCCATAAAGCCGTTTGGCTTTTAAACATAATTTAGACTCCTTCACCCATGGTAACAGTGAGTTGCATTCCCGCATTTCAATCTTGAGGACTTTTCCCTGTTGACAAACTTCTCCAGAAGACTACATTAAAAAAGAAAGGACGAAAGAACAAAAAGAGCACCCTCCCCTTGCACAGTAATTGAATTCATTTACCTCCAGCTATGTCTCTCCCTGCACCCGTAGATGAGGCAGGGTGATAGATCATTTGTGTAGCTGTTTCTCTGTCCCTAAAATGCTGTTCTTTAAATTCTGGCCAAGGCTCTCCATGCAACAGCATTGCTTTACTGTAGCCCCAAGGGACAGAGAGAAGATACAGCCACAGAGGTCAGCTGGAGCATAGGGGCCTCATGTAGCTGGAGCTCTTTCAGGTAACCTGGAGAGGCTCATGACAAGAAAATCATTGTCTGTTACTTAGCTTGACAGGATTATTTTGAAGAGTATATTTCTGATCTTACTAATTAAATTTGGTTCAATTGGAAGGTAGCAATTATGCAGGCAAGTTCAAATGAGAAACACTGTTACAGTGGAAAGACACTCAAGATTTGGTAGATTTTCATGTAAGCCAAGTACTCTTTAAATTTTATACTGCTAAAGTTCTGGATTAGTAGAGGAGGAAAGCTGCTAGCCTGATAACAAGTAGAAAATGTACTTATAATCTGGTGTGTAGTCATGATACCAGTGAGTGTACTCAATAAAAATTCAGTGTCTGTAAGGAATGCCAGTGTGTTCCTTTCCTATTAAATAAAACTTTAAAGAAATCACTTTTTCTTCTGGTGGTACCCTGGCTATTAAATACATTTAATTTATTTATAGCTCTGATAGTGTGTTAGAAGATGTGTAAATAATCTATTGACTGCTGTGCATTTTAGCTTATCTCATATATTTTGCCTAGGGGTGGGGTATTTTAAATATTTAAATGTTTTTTCTTAATAAGATATGCTTTTTCATAAGTTGCATTTTAAGTATTAGGGTATATTATTTTAAACATCTGGATCTAATTCCTAACAATGAAAATCAAATGCTCATATGTATCTGGAGTATTCAGTACAGAACACTGGGTTTTTTATGAGTTCACTTACTCATAATCAAACAGTTCTGATCACTCTTTTAATTGCAAATATAAGAAATATGAACACATGCACATGAGCAACAGAGGAAGTTTTCTTAAGAGTGCTTGCATATAATTTGTCAATGTAGTGGAAAATCAAATTTAGTCTATTTATAATAAATTGAGCTGACATTCCCCAAACAAAGCTTATTGCTCAAGAGTGGCAAAATGTTGGCTGTGTTACTGAATTCAGTGCTGACTCATTACAAGAATGGCTTGGTGCCCATTGCCAATTTTCATCTGCAAAGAGCCTTCAGAATCTGTTCCTTTACTTGGAATCACCACTTGTTTGGCCTGAGTGTATTGAGTACATTTGTCTTGCTTCCTTATCTTTTCTTGGCATGATTGAAGTTTCTTCCCCCTTCATGCACAAGGGGGACAGTTCATATGCAAAGTTAATGTTAGTTAAGTTGTGATTATTTTTTTTTTTTCTTTTTTCCCTTCTTCTCCCCTATTTCTCCTTGGAGATCCAGAGCTGAATTTTTAATGGCTCCAGGGCATGTCACATTGCAACCTTACATTCAGATCCCTAGTGCTGGAGACTCAGTCCTATTTGAGCAAATGTCATGTATAAAAACTACAAAGCCATCTCCAAGATTGCATTAGGCATGTAAACTGTAAAAAGCCACTATATGAATCTGCTTTTGACATACATTAGCTGAAAGATCATCTTGGTGATTTAGCTACAGGACTACAGACAGCTTTTCCTCACTCTGTTTTAATGGTGTGCTGTTTTTCTGCAGAAAAGCTATCTAAGGACAGTGTTTGCAAAAACTGTTTTATTTGCCTGCTGTTTGTTTTTTTCATTATGAGCCAGCAGTGCTTTCTGTTTCTGAAAAATGAGGCTCAATTCAATGCAAATTTCAATTAAAAAATATTGGCCACAGTTGAATTACTGGCTTTTCTTGTTGGGTCTCAGAGTTCAGATTTCTAACTGCTTAACATGAATGAGAAAGATACTTCATTCATTCATTTTGTGGTAGATTTTACAATGCTTGTGATGTCACCAGCTTGTTGGGATGCATTGAAGACCTTTGAGGATCCCTACAAATTTCAGTGTTTTTATACTTCAGCCATTGTGTTTTAGTCATGAGTCCTTCCTAATGTTAACTGACTTTATTACTAAAAAGCATGTCAGAAGACAGAACTTTGTTTATAGCTTCCATACCAGTGAGAAAACAAAAGTGTAGCAAATGCACAGAAGTAGGCAAACTTTTTTTTTCCAGTTAGGATTTCAGGGAGACATTCTGTGTGGTATTTCTGGTAGACAATTTTAATGTGGCATGATATGGCATTGCAGAACATAACTTTAAATAGCTGTGGTGAATGACATGATAAATTTTAAATGACTTCTTCATAATTCAATTTCTTAGTGTGGGGTATAATTTTCTTCAATATGCATGTTGTTCATATGTACTAATTGTTTCAAGGAACTATAATTTTCTTTATGAACTGAATAACAAATAAGTAAAAATTAGTGTTTAGAATTCTGTCCATACTCCTCATCTACTATCAGTTAGATTGTGTTATTCTCACTTTCTGAATGAATGAGCATTGCTCTGTATTGCTTTTTCTCTTCTACTTCTTCCAGAGACCTCACATAGTAAATCCACACTTATATTCTCCTTTTGATGTGCTGCCTTATTGCCCTTGTGGTCTCTGGTAAAGAATTTAGGAAGTAAGGTCATCCTGTGAGAGACCATGTCCTACACCACGTAAAATAGTACGAGCCAGATATGATTTATTGAGTATAAGGTGCTTTAAAACTTCTGTGAGTGGGTCATATTTTCTCTCGTATAGAATTTTGGAAATCTTTTTCACTTGCTGTGTAAAGCATGATCCTGTACTAAGCCTGCTGTGCTATATAATTTACTGCTATGTATGGATGTAATTAACTGAAGTTCCTTGCAGAAATACTTACCCTTAGCAGTTGTACTAATGCCCATAAAATGAACATATGCCCTTGTATATCTTGTTTTCTATGGGATTAAAAGGCATTGAATGGTTGAGACTGAATATTTCAGAAATCTGTTGAACAAGACTTGAACTTTTTTACAATGTTGACATGTACACGTGCATTTTAAATTACAGCAACTTTAGTAATATATGATTATATTATGTGATTATGATTATAATATATGATAATTTTTTTTTGCTTTATTTCCCTATTCATTTCTCACAATCCAATGACTTTGTCTTCAGAACACTGCCTCTTCAGGAGCTCTCCTGAAATGATTCTTGAAATATCATTCTTTGTAAATATTGTGTTTGTGATCACAGGCCCCTGCTTCTGAGAAAGATCTTTTTTGCACAGACTCATTGAAATCCTAAGAGGAAAGAAATCAAGAAGAATTGGTTACAATCACTCTCTCCATTGTGTAATCAGTGCTGATGTTAATTCAAGTTAAAATTCAAATGAACACTTGCAGAAACGTTCTCTTATCTCGCACATCTTATATAAATATGAGATGCATGTTATTTATATACATGATGTAAATAGCATCAGACTCTTGGCTCTTTTTAAATGGCTTGAAGAAATGGAGTAATAGCTTCAGCTGATGAGGCACTGCAACATGTAATTTACTATGAGCCCCATCACTTTTGAATGTGTTAGATTGTTTGATGTATTACTGAAAATTTAACTCCATTTGAAATTCTCTACTTGCAAGCAGTGAGAACAGTTGTAATAAAAAAAAGAGTGGGGGAAAAGAGGTGGAATGAATGTTTGTCAGAATAGCCATGTTATAAGCATTCTTTACAAGGAGAGTGGTTAGGCCCTGGAACGGACTGCCCAGGGAGGTTGTGGATGCCCCGTCCTTGGACGTGTTCAAGGCCAGGTTGGACGGGGTCCTGGGCAACCTGATCTGAATGTGTATGTTTGGTGGCCCTGCTAGGCAGGGGGGTTGGAACTACATGATCCTTGAGGTCCCTTCCAACCCGGGTGATTCTGTGATTCATTCTTGTAAGAGTATTTGGATAATCTAGAACTGTCCTCTTTTTGTGTTTTGAGTATTTTGTGTTTTGACCTGTGCTGTACATTTCTAGAGGGATGTGCCTTTGTTTTTTGTATTACTGTTGAACTAATAATAGCTCGGCTATATGGAGAGTTAGAATGTAGTCTTTTTTCTTTGCTCCTACCATTGGATATCCACTGTGCAGTTATCCTTTAAATATTCTCTATTGATACTACAAATTCTTGGGAGCGGGGAGATAGCTTGCACAGGGAAGGATGAGTCTCTACTGCTTCTCTCTCTCTCTCTCTCTCTCTCTCTCTCTCTCTCTTTTTTTTTTTTTTTTTTCCAGGGATTAAAGAGGGAAAACTGGACTGAGTACTTTGAGCTAATCTCTACGGGAGCCAATTTCATTTCTGTGATCACAGAGGAAGAGAATGAGTCTACTGTGTTGACTGCTTTATTTTATCCCCTCTTATCACTTTGTTGAACAAGGTCAGTACTGCTAAGTTACTCCTTTGATAACAATGTGAGGACAATATCAAGAGTTGGTTTGGGGGAGTGTTAGGATTGATTGTGGTTTTTTGCTGGGGAGTTCTTTGAAGGATGTAGAGATGGGCAATAGTGAGATGCTACAGCCTATGGCAAGACTGGCAAAAATACCGTTGATTTCAGGAGCAATAGCATTTCTCCAGCAGCCCGGCAGTTGCTTGCAGTTATTTCACAATCTTATTTCCATTTGTTTACTTTGTTCTTATTGCCTCTAACTGATATGAAGCTCCATTTGTTCCTCCATGCTACAATGTTGTAAATAATCTGGAAAAGCTAACAGATTTTACACTACTGTGCTAATTCATTTCATGCTGTTATCATGAGCAACAACTATGGCAAAAACCCATAAAGGAACATTTGAAAAGAAATGAACACAAAGGAAGGTTCAGAGATAATATTTTAAAGGGAGCTTAAAGAAAAAATGATTTCCCTTTCAATACCTCGTTGATAGGCTGTTAACAACCTAGTAATGCACAGCAGAAGTATGGTTTTGTGAAGTATTACAGCTCTTTTGTTTTAATTTTATTTGTGGAACAAAACTAAGAATGGTAAGGGATAATCCCAAAGGGAATACAAGTCTCTTTTTTTTTTTTTTTTTTTTTTCCTTTTCCCTGAAAATAAACAAAGCCTCAAAGCATATGTTGATTACAGACTAAGCAGTTGTTTTGCTTCAATATAAGATTAAATATTCTCATTTTCAGTCTTATTTAACAGTGTTAAAGTAGGTAGAACGTCAAAGCAAAGTATGTGAAGAGACCTGTGTACTACATAAAAGCTTCTTTGTTGCCAGATACAAAGAAGATAACAAGTTCCAACCAAAGTCTAAAGAACTTGACTTTTCTAGCAAATGTGGTTTAGTGTGATTGAACAGAGACAAAATACTTATTCACTTTCTACACATGCTCAAGATCTGCAGAGTTAAAATATATTTTAACATTTTTGTGTAGAAGACTTTAAAATGGTGTTCTTTAAACTCTGAAAATTACATTAAGGCTTTAAGAGCACTTCATCGAGGCAAAAGGAGTCTTGAAATATTTTTGAAGTCTACTGAGGATATTGTAAATATTTCTTGTCTGTTATCTATGCTAATGGAAGAATAAACTGGAAACAGAAGAAGCAATGCATGTACTATGTAGAATAGCATCTGGATTGAACTTTTTTCTTCTAAATGCAACCCAGTCAAATACAATTCTACCAATCTGAAAGAGGTTTCAATCTCATTAAGAAACTGAATGAATAGTGATGAGCAAAATGAGTGCATGCATATCAATAAGACTTATGTACTAAGGTTTTTGTTTTTTTTTTTTCTGGAGAAAAGTATGTCTGATACAATCAGCAAGGGCCTGCTGTGGAAAGGTACAAGCAATACAGAAACAGGCCAGAGGCAAAATCAGATAGGGAGAAGATAGGATAAGTAGTGACTAAAGTGTGCGTGTGTTTTTGCTTTTGGAAATGGTAGCTTGATTGGAAATAGATGCTCACAGGGAAGGACTTGAGTGGGGAAAACTGCATCCAGATTGAAGCAGTTAGTGAAATACAGTTGTAGAGACCTTGATGATGCATCCTGGACTATTCTGGGAGAAATAGCAAGATTTAGGTCTGATATAGATGGATGAATCCAGGGATTATTCATAGATCTTGTTTAAAATAGAGTTGGAATGTGCCCACTCTTTTTCTGTAACGTATCACAAAGTGCGAAGGCAATCTACGTTTTTCAGAACAACTGAAGCCAAAATCAAGCATCTTGGTTATGCAAATTATGTTGAAGGTTGAAGCGTTTTTGCATTTAATGTTATTTCCCTTTGTTCATAGTAGTTCAGCAAACAGCTTTTTGATTTTTAAAGAATCAGTTTTTAAAAATATTGTTAATATTTGTTTTACTTACATATAAAGAACTGAAACTTTTTGCGGATAATCCTTTCCATATGGATTCAGATTTTACTTTTAATGCTCTGTTCAAGACACCTTTAGAAGGAATTGTGACCTGTAGGTGAATGTCTTCATAAGAATATACATGCTCTAAGTTACCTGAAACCCTCTCCCCTTATGCATAAAATAGAAAGAAAAGATTGTTAGATATCAGCTGCCTATGTTAAGGTAGCCTGGAATCTGAATGCAAAAGGAGATTTCCAAACATTTTCTGAAGGCTCAAGCTATAGATGAATGAACTTTTTTTTACTAAATTAAGTGTTATTAGACAATTTTTCTGTTGATTTTTGCAGTATGTATTCATTTACACAAATATATACAGACATATATAAGCATGTACATAACACATGATTGTTTAATGAATGGACTAGTACATGAAGTATACAAGTAAGACACATTTATTTACCATGATCTTTATTAAGCCTTCCTATCCTAAGGAAAATAGGTCACAGTATAAAAATAGTATAGGGCAACCTATGAACTAGATTCTGTGCTCAGAATCCTACCTTAATTAATTTCAGTAGTTTAAACTAGATTAAACTGTGTTGTTGTTGATGAACGTGTATCTACTGTGGACAAGATATTAATTCCTCCAAAGTCTTAACAGCAAGGAATAGTCTTTATCTGGCAAAACATTAAGTAGAAGGAAGCATCTACTTTCTTTTATTCCAGCTGCAGATTCTAGACTGAATCCTATACTGCAAGAGTGTCTGACAGTTCAGATCAACTAATGCCAAGTCTCCTAAAGGCATACACAAGGTACTTCAGCTTTCCTCTTCTGGGTAAGCTCCTTGCAGAGCTTGAGCTATCCACCATTCCATGAATGATATTTAGCCACCATACTTTCATGAGGGTACAGGCACACGTTCCTGCTGCTCTATGACATGTAAGTCTGTACACAAGGCAGCAGAGGTGTTTGTGAACCTTTGAAAAAGTGAGTGATGGAACACTTCAAATTCTATATGCCTTGTTTTTTGACTTTTGTTTTGAGGGTCCATGGAAGTTAGCAAGGAACTTGGTTATGTAGTATACGAAATAAAAGTATGCAAGGAATCAAACTGATGAACAATGGTAGAAGCTGGATGGTTACAGCCAGAAGGTTGTAGTCAATGAATCTATGTACAGGTAGAAGCTGGTCATGAGCAGTATCCTCCAGGGTCCCTCTTGGGACCAATACTCTTCAACATGTTTATCAAAGGCATAGATAGTGGAATTGAGTGTACCTTCAGCAAGTTCGCCTGATTACACTAAGTGGTGCGTCTGACACAATAGAAGGAAGGGATGTCATCCAGAGGGACCTCGACAGGCTTGAAAAGTGGACCCGCATGATCGGAATGAGGTTCAACAAGTTCAAGTGCAATGTGTTGCACTTGAGTTGGAGCAACTTCCGTATGGACTGAATTGGAGAAGAACATCTTGAGAGCATGCCTGTAGAGGATTTGAGAGTCCTAGAGGATGAAGAGCTGAGCATGTCAGCAGCGTGCACTTGCAGCCCAGAAGGCTAACAGTATCCCAGGCTGAACCAAAAGAAGAGCAGCCAGAAGGGTGAGAGAGGGGATTGCACCCTTTGTGAGGCCCCATTCAGAGTACTGTGTCCAGATCTGGGGGCAACAGCACAAGAAAGGCATGAAGGTATTGGAGTGGATACAGAAGAGGGCCATGAAGATGATCAAAGGACTGGAGCAACTCTCTTATAAGGAAGGGTTGAGGGAGCAGAGCTTCTCCAGTTTAGAGAAGAGGAGGCTTAGAGGAGACCTCACTGAAGCCTTCCTGTACTTGAAAGCTTATACGCAGGAGGATTTTTGCATGGGCAGATAGTGATAGGACAAGGGGGAATGGCTTCAAATTAAAAGGAGGAGTGTTTTAAGTTAAATGCTAGTCAGAAATTCTTTATTCAGAGGGTGGTGAGGCATTGGAACAGGTTGTCCAGGGAAGCTGTGGATGCCCCGTCCCTGTGGGTGATTAAGGCCAGGTTCAATGGGGCCTTGGGCAGCCTGATCTATGGAGGGTTGGAACTGAATCATCCTTATGGTCCCTTTCAAGCCAAGCCATTCTGTGATTCTATGAAGTTACTCGTTTCTTCAGTGTAAAGGCTGATGTGCTTCAAGTACTCCTTGTCCACATTAGGTAGCTATGTCCTGGAGCATAACTCTTCAAGAGCACTTACTTGTTAATTAAATTGTACTAGATTTTTGGGAAAAAAAAAATAAAAAAAATCCTTTATAACTCATTTGGTTTGGGACAGCTGAAGCAAAATTTTCTCCCATATTTTTCCAAAGTGTTATCTATTATTTTGAAAACTTTTCTCCTTGGTAAAGCAAGATATTCAAGACTTATACATTTAGTGTGCCTTTAGATTAGGAAAATAAGTTCTCTATCAGATTAATCTAATTTCCTTGAAAACCTGCCTGGCTATAGAGCCGTATGAAAATCCTTGGGGGCAGCATTTGCTTTTCCTTCACTGGACACAAATATTGTCTGTTGCAGGACGCTTTCACCATGCTTCATTGCCATTGCCCATGTATTTGTCATCAGAAAACTTTCAATCTTAATTTTATGTGACATCACAGAATTTGATTTAACTTTATTGGCACGTAACAGTTAAGAATCAAATGTATCTCACAACTAGTAAAGTATGTATTGCTGAGGAACCCCTGTCAGCAGTAACATTAATGGAAATATGTAACTTCAAATGAACTTTAAAACCTTCCTGTTACTAATTCCAGAGCTCATGAGGAGACGGTGAAGGCAGTAAGAGGATGCATTTCAAACTATGCAAAGCATTCTGAATATGTCTGAGAAGCAAAATTATCATTACATAAAAAATGCCCAAATGTCTGAGAGATTTTTATGATGGGGAGGAATGCAGAAGAATGTAATGAAATAAGTTTCTTGTATTTTATGATTAGAAAATCCTCCCTGGTGTCTGCCTTCATTTATCCCTTTATTCTCTTAGTGTGTGTTTTAATGGGCTCTTTGTTGCTGCAATGCTGGTTGATTGAAATTCTCAATTTGTAGGTCTCCTTGAACATATTTATTCAGGGGATGGGACTTGCACAGAACAATGCACTTGTATGAGGCAATCCCATCACATCAGCCTTTATTATCATTTGTCTAACTGGGATACATGTCAGTGACTGCTGTAGTTCCCCTGCACCTACAAAAGAGCTTTGATTACTGTGTGCTGATCCTTGATACAGCACTGGCCTTAACTTCACCGTGATGTCTGAATTAGATGAGCATCCAAAATGCCGCAACTGCAACTCTTCCACCAATACAATGGACAGCTCTGGGTACAGAAGATGAGATCTTTCTTCACATGAGTATGCAATACAACTGTTTGTACTTCTTTTCTCTCTCTCTTTTTTTTTTTTTTTTTTTAAACATTGAAAACCTTGGTTTTCCATTTCAAGTTCCTGACTTTATGCATGTGATACAGCTTACTGCACTGGTCTTTTACCAAATAAGATGCAGTGTCCAGATCAGTTTCCTATTTTCTACAGCTGGATGATGTGTCTATCTATTTCTCTCTATGCTTTTTGTGTGTCTTTAAATCTATCACAAGTAATTTTTCTTATGTGAAAACTAATTAACATGTTGGGAGCAGATTGCCTGCATTGTCTTGATATTTTTTGAAGCAACCAGATGCTGTAATTACTCTGCAGTTATTTTTGCCTGTAGGTTGTCAGAGAGCACTCCCTGTCACTTTAACTAAGAACATAAAGTTCATTTAAATAGTGAAAGGTAAGACAAATTTGTTTAGGAGTCTTTGAATGTAATAGGAAGAAGGATCTGTTTTAAGGGTACAAAACCAAAACCAACAAAAACTTAATTCCTTAATTAGTGCCAGAATAGGTAAATCCTTTCCTTCTTAGTGTTGTTGTTCTTTGCTTTAAATTCTCCTATGTTTCATTGTATTCCATTTATTTAATTTTTTCATATGTGGACTGGTTCTCAGTGTTAGTTTACTGCAAAATAGGTCTTGATCTTCAATAATTAAATTCCTGATGAAACTTGTATTTATTGGTCCTTGTTCTCTATACCACTGTCTACCTTAATTAGATTGTTAGTGATGCCTCATTTCTTCTGATATTTCCCAACAAGCTGAACAAACTGGGTTGCTGTTAAGAAAGAAATAAGATGCTTACTGTTAATTTCTCTTTAGAAGCAATAAAAGTTCTCTCAGATCAGCTTAAAAAGGATCAGTATGCAGGAGAAAACAGAAACAAATCATCAAAACATGAAGCCATCTATAAGGAGTCAGTTAAATCAGTAGGCTCTTCTTCTAGCCACTGCCAGTTATTTTTTCCCAAGATAGATTTACTTTGAGTATGTCATCCTGACAGTATTTTTATTATTCCTATACACTGTAGTCTCTGTAGTGCAACACACCACCTGTTTGACAAGAAAAAAGATAAGACTTTTATCAGAGTTTTTCTGACAGCCATGCACATTGCTTCATAGAATGACAGAAAAGATCTACTAGGTCATCACGCTTTAATCAGTCTTGGTTATAGCAAGTTAGAAATACATAAGGGCAAATTTTCTGATGAGAGAGACTGAAGAAACATAAGTAAGAGAATTCAGTGGAACATGTCATCAGTTAAAACACTAGATATGTGCAATAAAATGCTTGATTTGAGGATGGTACTCACTTCAAATCCAATAACAAGATTGTAGTCTTAATTCATGTAAAGTTAGTGTTCATTAAATGATATTTGCTTACACCTTTTTGTCTCATCGTTGCTGTGACTATTCAAAGTAGTTTTTTTCCTGTTTGGGCAAGTTATTTTCAGTTGCATAGTGACAGATAGAGTAATCTTCTGTCTTAGCTTTCAGCTCTGCATGCAGTACGTTCCATAGCTGTGACTGAACTTGTAAAATACAAAGTTATTTTCTGCAAAATATGGCTTCTCTTTCCCCCCCACTACACTTTTACTATTCCTGGTGGATCAGTAATAAATAACAGTATCAGTGACCTTTGAGTACTGTGTAAAATGTTAGTTACTGTTAGGGAAACATGTAAAAAAAAATGCATCCTTTTTTATCCTTTCTCTGAAACTGGGAAAACGTGCACCATTACTGTAACACAGGAAACAATGAAACAGGCAAATTGGCAAGCAGAGCCAACTCTGGGTTCATTAGCAATCCAGGTGTGAATATCAGGAAGAAATATGTGCCAGCTGAAAAAGATCCCATGCCTTGTTTTGTGTAATTGTTTTTTGTTTTTTAAGACTTGAAATGAAGAGCTAAAACTTATTTGTTTCCTTTATAGTCAGACTTTTCTCAGATGAGTAGCGTCTCAGTACCCATGATATACTGGGAGTGTAAAAGGGATAGTGGGAAAGCAGTTCCAAGAGCAGCCTCCACTATGGAGGTCGGTTAGGATAATTAAAAGTGTTTCTGTTTGTTTGTTTGTAATTGTTGATGAACTCATCTGGTTTCTATACCAGAGCTGTGGTTGCCAGACTACATTAGTGGTCTGTAAACTAAACACCTGATGCTAAAGGTATCAGTGCTAAGTTAGAGAAGATGGTAATGTAAGATTTGATAACATACATTAATAGCTGATGGTAAACAAAATAGCATGCTTATAGCTGTGCATGGGGGGAATAAGTGGGGCAGAGTAATAATGCAGCAGAAAAGAATAGTCGAGGACAGAGCAGCCCATGGAAGCAGCTAGAATGA